TTGCACCTAGCAACATGTCTCTATACTGTACTCAAGCTACTTATGGTTATTTTATTCATAAAGGTATGATTATAAGTAGCCGGCAGGAAAGGTAGTTATTTTACGGATAATGCCGCCTATCTTGGTAACGGAAAAGATCTGAGAAGAGATATTTTCGAATTAGTCATGTCCTTATGCTAATAAGTAACTTGCAAACCAGATTTTTCTTCAACTCGTCTGCAAAAAATCTGCAGCCAAATCTATTTCGACTTCATATGTTAGCAGAGATCTTCCGGACTCACAAGGAAACTGGCCCAGCTTTTTCGTTGAAATACATAGGCATAGGTTATCGCTGATGCTGATTTCGAATATCGTAGTCTGAGCGGCATGCGGGTCCTTTGAGATCCGGTTTTCTAGAAAACCAGATTTTTTTCAGAAACTCTAAAAAATAACCAAAACTTTTCTTAATGAGGTATAATTGTAGTCCACAAATTTCTGATTAAAATGAGATATCTTCCAGCTCTACACGATCTTGCTTTGCAAAGTTGTAGAACTTACAAGAAAAGCCCTAAATTAATTTATTTTTATTTTTGTAGCTTTGAGCTGACAGTGAACATTTAGGGCTTTTCTTGTAAATTCTATGACTTTGTAAAGAAAGGTCATGTAGAGCTGGGAGATGTCTCATTTTAATCAGAAATTTCCGGGCTACAATTATGTCTCATTAAGAAAGGTTTTGGTTATCTTTTAGAGTTTCTGAAAAACTGGTTTTCTAGAAAACCGGATCTTCAAGGCTCCTATACTGCTCCGCCTATGATATTTGAAATCAGCATCAGTGATAACCTATGCCTATGTGTGTTTTGATGAAAAAGCTCGGGAACACTTGGGGCGGTTCCCTCGTCAGGAGGATCGATGAGGAAAACTTTATCAAGAGTTGACGGTGGACGAGGCGATAACGGGGCAATCTCCGCAAAGTACATTTAACGAAACTTGGCGATGCATGGGCGATGATGAGTTAGGAAGTTTGCGAGGCAATCCGCACGAGGGAGCTAAAGATAGCTCATCGCTCACCTCTACTCCGAATACAGTTTTTGTTGCCTTACTTTCGAAGTCAAAGCTGAGAAAAAATGTCCACATTAAAAACCAACGTTTCATCATCGTTTGTCAACTAAGCAAAAAAACATAAATCGTATTTTTGAATGCAGAGATGAAAAATAAAATTACGCCATATTTAAAAGTTCAAATCGATAAAAATTGTGCTTTGAACAACGCAAAAAACTTTCATTTCTTATTGTTGTTACATGTTGGTGCAAAAAACCTAAAAGTCTTTTCTAAAAACGTGAAAAAAAAATATGTGTTGATTTGACAAACGAGAAATGTTGTCTTAATCGTATCAAAAACTGAGCATAGTGTAAACTAATTTCAAATGGAAACACTATTCAAGTTGTTTTAAATGTTCATAAGCAAAACGTACCAAAGGCTGAAACAGATATCTAAATCTTCTTTAGTTCAACGGTCGTGTCTTGTTCTTAACATTCTGACAAGCGTCACTAACTTAGGTAGCTAATCTTCACATAGAATAAAAAAATTTGTATTGACTAGAGGGCAAACTTTTGTTGTACTTCTAAGTAAAACTCAATAATTTGTTTAATTTATTCTCGTCAGTTTTAAGAGCCACAAAACCATTAAAAATAACTGCTGAAAATATTAATGAAAAAATGTGCACTAACCCTGTAAATATTTTTTTATCGGTATTAATTGTGTACCAGCGTACATCAGTGTCGAATGATTTTTATCTGAGTACCAATAGTTGATTTTGTGCACCAATGTCATTCTTTAAGTCAGTGCGTTACGTTTCCGACAACAGAAAAAAATTTCAGTGCAACACCGATTCTCATTAGCATTTACTGGGCACTGGTGCCAGATAGTATAAGTGCTCCGCGGCATGCCATGTGCACCGGTGCACACTGAAATTTTTCTTGCAGAGTAATAAAGAAGTTAGTGATCTTGATGGGAGAGTGATGGAGACAGATGCATATTGACGAGATACAGAGACTTTCTCTCGGTCGTCTCTACAGGAAAATATCAAATCGTCTCCTCCTATCGACTTAAAATTTTTGTGATCACATTATTAGATATTCCAAGAAAATCTGTATAAGACCGCAGTAAAGTTTGTGTGATATAGAGTATAAAATAATACGAAGATAATAGTCAGAATTACCTAGATAGAGATCAAGACATTCGACATTTTTGTAAGCAATATCATCTTTTATTCCATATTCGGCAGTTGATCTAATCATCAATACTTGATCAGGATCTCCTAATACCAAATGATATGTGTTGGACAAATATGGCATAGTATACAGTTGTAAATCGAAATATTCATTCAAACCCGAATAGTCACACACAAAATTCCAATCATGTCGACGCCAATAATCTGTCTTGAACGATTTTAATATTTTATCCACATTCATTGTAAGAGTCACTTCGTACTCTTCATCTTCATTGTCTTCGTCGCTATCCACAATATTATCATAGTTCGACAGTACAAGTAGTTCAAAATGTTCAAGTTCCACAAGTGATGTTGACAGACATCGTTCTAATCGAGAACCATCAAGAAAATCTTTGTTTTCAGATTGAAGTGATAAATGTTTCAATTTTGGCATTTGCTTAAAAACAGATGTAATTCGATTAAACTCTGCATACTTTGCATTCAATTTAAAATATATTAAATTTGACATTGAGACAGGCACCTGTATAAGACTATCAATAGTCGGTCGTTTCACTTCATAAGCACTTGATGATGACTCTAAATAACAAGAAGTTCGAGTCTTTTACTAATCTAAGCGAGAGAAGAGCAGCATACCGTCTTTTTTTGACCATGAATCATCAGCAGATACAGTGTCCGATTCATCTATGGAAATGGAACTGTCGCTGTCACTAACGCTAGAACCGACATTAATCAAACTGACTGTTAGACGCTTCACGTGTGAAATGTATCTAAATAAGTTAATCATGTCGTTATAATGCAATGGACTGATTGTTACTGTTTCGATTGAAGAAATATATTCGTTCATCTCCTTCAGATAAAATCGTTTATTGTTTAATACAATGTTAACATGTTTTAGCGATGCTATCTGTTGACTAAATATGATATTGTAGTCGACAATGTTCGATCCATGATATCGATCACTTTTAGAAAGAGCAATTGACAGATTTGTTAAGAGTGGCAGTTTTGGTAATTGTAAAACGATTTTAGCCAATTCTTTCTCTTTAACTGCATTCAGATGCAACGATTTGATATGAGTAAACAACGATAAATCATTAAATGTTTCAAAGAATAATTCGATTTGCTTTACTGTTCTATCGTTGTACAGTTTCAATGTTGTTAACTGGCTAAGTGTATTCGGGATGATAAGATAGAGATAATTGTGAAACATTGTGCGTGTGATATAGCTCATATCGATAGTTATTCGTAACGATTCAATTAAACGTGTATATCGTGTGTTCAACTGACTAAATATCATATAGATGTTGTACGAATCCAAATAGTCGAATAGCTCATAAACCAAGTCATTCGAAAGCATTTCAAATCTTGTCATCTTTAACTAGCAACAATTACACATACAATTAACTACCCTTCACATCGAAGTAAGTCTTTGTTACTTTAACGCTTGTCGTATAGGCCAGTGATGAATCGATGAAAAGTAAATTTGTTCCATTTGTTAACGTAGATTGTTTCTTTACACTAGAATATAGGAAAAAATATCGTCCTTAAGCTATTTAATTGATTTATGCTTACCCTTTGTATTTTGATCTATCAGTAGCCATCCGCTTGGACATTTTAAGATTGACAAAGTTAGAATCTGAAATGAACGTGAAAACGATTTATTTTTGAGTTTTCCTTTTGATCGAAAACGAAATTCCTTTGAACGAAAAGAATTTTTTCGTTAAAGTTGATCACTTATACGTATCATGCTAAGCATGATGTAACGTTCTACTACACAAACACCTTACTAATTTTGAAAAGATTTTCATTTGAACTTAGACTACAGAGCGTATATACTTGTGTCTTTTCTCTCATGAATTTGATAATTAAAAGAAAAACTAAATAGGAATATCTGATCGCTCACATTTTTAAGACTAAAATATACATCTTGCATATCCAATATCACCATGGTGCACATATAATCAATGCTGGTGTAGTGATGAAATGTTGACAACGTTTGAGAAAGTTTGGTTTAACTATATAGTTCACATAGTTTCGAATCAGTAGAGTACACCAGACCAGAACTAAAGAGAGTGGCGACAAACAGGGAATGAATAGCATGACATATCAAAAGTCCATAACACCGAAAAAATGCAGTTATTCGCTTGACTTTTTCCCTTGACTTTAGTCTAGGACCTTACGAAATGGTTGTCTGTGTGACTCTGTGCAAAATACGGAAAAATGGGTGTTAGATATTCTATGGATAAGCGAATCACAAGAGACAAAAGTAGAAAATTATTTTTTACATAAGAGAGAAAATATTCAAAGAGATCATCTGAAATATCTACTGATGCAGAGAGGTAAACAGCTAAGCAAACGTTTTCTGTATAGGCCGGGGGTAGATGTCGCGAGATAGCAGTCAACTGTGACAATACAAAAAAAGTGGTATAATACTCTCAGAAATAAAGCAATACTCGCGCATTTGATCGCTCAAAATAATCATGCCCTGTCAGCTTGAACAATATTCTTGTCTGTTGAGGCAAGGAATAGGCAACTTGCTAGTAAACACAAGAAAACAAGGTCCTTGTCTGAATAAGCAAGACAAGCGGCTTCTCTGAATAGGCAAAGAACAAGATTCTTGAAACGAAAGGAAAGTGTCAAAAAATAACAATCGACACTTCGACACTTTTTACAGTTGCGTGAATCAAGCAATCGACAGACAATTCTGCCCGTTAAAAGACTAAAAAAAGATAACAGAAAGAGCACTGATTGGTAATCCCATGCCTCTAAACTTTGTTCTATAACATTTGTTTTTATTGTCAACTACTGATGAAGATTTTTATTAATCGAAACGTTTAGTTAAGCAATATAACTAAACTGCGAAGTAAAACGGAAGAAATAAAAGAATTATTAAATGAATTAGCATAGGTATCATTTTTTTTATCAAACAAGAAAAGAAAGACATATTTCCATCTATATACCTATTAAATATGATTTTTTTCGCTTTTCATCGTCTATGTTTATTTTATAAAATTATAAAAGATGTAACTGATTTACATTCTCTTATTCTACCTCCAACACAAACTACTACTATGACTCTGAGAAGCCATAATACACAACAAATAACAACATTACGAAGAAGAAGTGAATATTTACAAATGACTTTTATTTCATCTTCTAAATTATGAAACGGCTTATCGAATGTAATAAAAAAGAATCAAAAAAATTATGCTGTTTTAAGTGTAAAATGAAAGAAACAACCCTTTTTCAGTAAATTAAAATTGTCTCCTGTTATTGACAGGACGACAGAAATCGATTTTTTGCGATGTAAAGTGAATTTTTGTCAACTGAATCAGGATTTGTTGGAGCGGAATTTAATAACAGGTGTGAGTTGTGCATGTGGATCTAATAGTGAAATAGTAGAAGACTTTTTCCTAATATATCCACTATATATACACAACGTGCGCTATGGATAAATGTTTTTCAAGAAATATTTGATACCAAAAGTATAAATGTCAATCACATTTTGCTGCGTGATAAATCAGTGTTGAAATTAGATATATGTCGTAATAAAGTGTTTTTAGTAGGATTTTTTAAATAGGTTTAAGAGAGAGAATCATTTTTCGTTATTATCGTGATTACGGGCATTATATTGCAGCTGTGACAATCCCATGAGGCTTCATTACTTTGTTTTTTATCGTTCTTTAAGAAACGAATAGCCTTTAATTTGATTAATCTTATATATTGTGCTAAAATTTCTTTTCACAAAATCGTGTGAGTGTATCCCGACAAAATATTTTTGAATACATACACAACAGCAAAGCATTTCATATATCGGTGAGCCATACATCTTTTAGAGTTTTTACTAAACAAATGCAACTCAAAAACTTTAAGATGCCGTATTTCCAATAAGTAAATTACAATTGAACAGTATAGACTAGAAGGATCATAGGTAGATTCCAGACTACTCACTGGAAAAAAGAATCAAAAACGGGTACTTCCATGTCTGGATACTCTTTTTGGAATCTCTGAGTAACAAATGCAGGTACCCTCTTTGTTTTGATTCGGTAGAATGCGGAATACTCCCAAAGAAATCTTACAAAATCAAAAAGCGTACACTGAAGTACCAAAAATTGCATTGTAACATACGGTTAAAGGCATCTCTAATTCCACAGAACCAAAAAACAGAGGGTGTCTGTATTTGTTGCGATATCCAAAAAGGATATCGCGGCATTGGTTCTGTACGATTTGAAAATATTTAAGAGAAAACCGTGACTCTCAATTCGGAAAACCTTTCGGATAACGAAGAGTAAGATCATAGAAGTCGGGTGAAAAAACAAATGTGTGAAGAACGAAATGGCTTGATTAGTCACATTAACACTTCTTATTTTTGAACATTTAGCGAATACTATTCGACTATGAATTTTTACTCAATTATTCTCATAACTTTCGTTATTGGCTACAGTTGCTCTGCATTAGATGGGGATCAAATACTATCTATTGCGGACGGTTCGTCATTTGGAATGTGTCGTGGATATTGTAGGAATTATGTTCTTCTTACACCATCAAAGATAATTGCAGTTAAAGAAAGTTATCAAACAACACAATATCCAAGCATAAAGAAAGAATTGAATTTAACGTTAAAAGAGTGGGAAAATATACTCAATTTGGTGGATATTACCAAGTTTAAGGCTACACCGAATGTACTAGGTTGTCCAGATTGTGCTGACGGTGGTGCTGAATGGATTGAAATTGTCTTTCAAAGTGGTACAAAGCGTGTTACATTTGACAATGGTCGAACTATTCCCGGTCTGGAATCATTGGTTAACAAGTTAAGAGAAATAAGAAATGAATATATAAACTAACTTGCGAATTAATAAATTAAACAACTCAACCTTGTATCTTTCTTGAAAAATAGAATAAATCTATGCTATCACCACTTAATGGATTTCATATAAAACCAAATGCCTTAAAGAAATTGATTGACTATCAGGATACCATCTTTTCCGTCCGAGAATAAGACTAATTTTGGGGAGAATCCTAGCTGGTACTGGTAGTAAACATAGCGATTACTTTGCGACAAATGAACACAAACTCACATAATACAAAAATAAAAACAAAACACAGCGCGGACAAACCCCAAAAATCCCGTCTCGTCCATCCTGAGTGTCTCGGGTCTGCACTGACGACACAAATGGGTCTTACGAGGGAACCTCGTGAAGAGATATATCACTGTTTGATCAAAATCTAGTGGGTTAGAGGTTATCGATCATGCTGATTCCGAATATGATTATGGGGGTTGCCCATAGTCCTTCAAAGCCCGGTCTTCTGGAAAGCCAGTGTTTCAGAAACTCTAGAAAATAACCCAAATCTTTCTTAACAATACAGAATTATAGCCCGCAAATTTCGGATTAAAATGAGACATCCCCCAGCTCTACACAACCTTTCTTTGTAAAGTTATAGAACTTATAAGAAGAGCTCTACGTTGTTCATTGTTAGCTGAAAGCTACAGAATTAATTAATTTAGAGCTCTTCTTTTAAATTCTATAACTTTGCAAAGCAAGGTTGTGTAGAGCTGGGGGATGTCTCATTTTAACCCAAAATTTGCGGGCTATAATTCTGTATTATTAAGAAAGATTTTAGTTATTTTCTAGAGTTTCTGAAAAATTGGTTTTCCAGAAGACCGGATCTTTGAAGGACTCCATTTGTGCTATATGTTTGTTAAAAGCTGATCCAGTTTTAATCGAGTACCATTGCACCGGAGACCATTGCACATGGTCTTTTAAATGCGTAGTTTTCTGAAAAAGATAATTCGTTTTCCAAAATATCACGATTCGATAGAACGTAAAAATTTGAATATTGACTAGCTCATCATATGAAAACTACTTTTAACATTTCTGGTTGTTGAGATGGATGACTAACTAAAAAGAAGCGGAATGTCTCAAGCTTCGGAGAGAATGAACTTTTCCAGAACACACATCAGTTATGTATTGGTCTACGAGGAAGTATCGTGGCTAAAACGTGAAACTTTCTTGTTTTGAACCGACAAATACTAAACATGCTTCAAAGACTCGGACATGCATATTGTGAACTAATCTCGACAGTTAATTTCACATGTGTAAAACTTACGTAAACTAAGTGTTAGATATTTTTAAATTAATTAAGTTAGTTACCTTTAGAAAGTTTTTGCTATTTAGATACTGTTAAGGATCTGTTCTGTGTTTGAAGTATACAATTAAAGGGTATTTCATTTCTAGACGCTAAAAACGCCAGAAACGTAACATCAATTGTTAATGTTAGTAAAGCCACAGTAATATGTTTAAATACAAATTATATGAATAATGAATTACGTAAATTTGAATTATTTTATGTTTACACAAAAACAAGTATTTCTTATTCCAGTTTTAAGACTAAACTAAAGATTATTCGATATCAACAGCAATAATCGGCTCAATAGTTTCCATTGATTCGAATACATTGACATAATCAAAACCAATTGCCAAACAAATAATAAATCAAGTAAAAAATATAACAGATAATGATCAAAATTTACGTTTATATAACGAATAAGTGTAACGGACGACAGAAAGCAAAAAGTGCTGTCACATAATTATAGATCCCCTTTTATTTTTTATCTTTTTCTTCATAAAAAAAAATTGGTTCTTTTTACCTATTTATTTCGTAAAAAATGTTTCTATATAAAAAATTAGATAACTATGAACTACAACCATAACTTATTATTGATCACTTGTCAAAGTCGTCCTGGTAATGATTCAAAAAGTTTTCGTATTGTATCGTTCGAAATGTCCGACCATACTGTTTTCAATGCGTCTTTTAGATCATCTATGTTATTGATTGTAAATTTTAATAATTTATTATCAATAATGGACCAGATATTCTCAATAATATTGTCCTGATTGTATAGGTGGAAATTTTTGTAATGCTGCTGGTAAATAGGTTTCGAGTATATCAATGTATTTAGTTGAGTTCAGGCGCCCGTCGAAGATAACCAATGGCCCTAGGCCATGACACGTAATATACGACCAAACTCCGATCATCCCGCCCTTGTGAACTCGTTGTTGTGATCGTTCAAATCGAGTCCGATCGTTTCGGAATCGACGTATAAAGATTCGACTCTTTCGATTAAATACCTCATAATTACTTTCATCTGAAAATATAACGTTTGACCAATCTTTTATCGACCAATTCAAATGTTCATAGCACCACTGAATCCGTTTACGTCTTTGTATTGAAGTTATTCGAGGCTTCTTTGGTGCAATATAGGAAACCATATTATAATCTCGAAGAATACGGCTAATAGTTTAACGACTAGTCGATAAATTCAAATCGGTATAAGCATATCGCACAAGATCGGTCAGTGAACACGTATCATCTCGAAGTTGCTGGAGTTTGATTAATCTTGTTGACGATCTGTTACTTTTCCTGGACGTCCAGCACCAGGTTTCGTGGTCACGGTATGAAATTGATCAAATCTACGAATAGTCTGACGAATACAGCGACGAGAAATTTCATGTTGGAAAATTCTCATATCACGTAATAGGATAATGTTCTTCTTAACATCAATATTGACCGATTTTCTTCCCATTATTCTTGTACAAAATAGGCATGAGTGATTCTGGTGACTTTTGTACCGTTTGATTTAAGCTAATGGAAATGCATGGTTCTCCGTTAATACTAAATCGAACTTTTAGAAGCTTATGCCATTTTATTCCGGACACTTTACTCTATATATACTGTTAAGATCTCTTTTCTGTCTTATTTTCTTAGTGTACAGTAAGCAAAACACTTTGTTTTTGGGTTCTTTTTCCTTTCTTTTCTTAGTGGTTCCTGCACGTTCTTTTTTCTTAATTAACATTTTTCTTTTCTTAAGGGGCAGCGGAACAAAATCTTTTTTGCTTTTACTTATGCAGTATTTTACCTGCTCTGTCAATCTGCAGTCTTAGTTTTGCCTAATCTCTTTTAGTTTCTGTGAAAACTTCGATGAAATTTCTGGTCCTCGAAAAGTTCAAAAATCGTGTTTCACCCCCTTTTGAGTCTACTGTGCAGCCAATAAGCACTTTAAATCAAATATTTTTCCATGAAAAGATTTACCAAAGTAGGCACTATAGATTGTTGAAAACTCCAAGTTGCTAGCTTTTTTCGTTTTTGAGTAATTGACATTTTACTGACGTCCAGTGGCTTGTGACATACAATTTGTCCCACCCCCTTTTGACTCTCCCCTGACCGAACTACATGGAATTGAGAACTCGTTTTTTTACCATATATGTCAAATGGGTAGCACAAGTTATACTGTAAATAGCAAGGCTTCAGCTTATTTCTAAAAGAAGAAATTTGAAAAATACATCAAAATGTCCCACCCCTAACTTTTGTCCCACCCCCAAACATATCTCTAGAATTGTTTTGGCTAGTACATAAAGCCTCATATTATACGATTATACGTATTTTGACACCCTGAATTGAATGGCCGGCTCAGTTTTCTGAAAACCAGCTCAGCAAAAGATTTCCAGAAAACTGGATTTCTTGAGGCCCAAGGTTAGAAATTGTCAAAAACCATTTTTTAATGATGCCAGTTGATAGAGCAGATGTGAAAACCTATGTTTCAATACATTTTTAAGCTCAGTTATGCCCTCTTAGCTGAAAAGCAGAGAAAATCGCATTTTCGATCCTGCGTCAAAAAGTGAACAACCAGGATTTTGGCTGAGAAAGACTTGGCAGTTTGAAAACAGAGTTTTTTCTAGACTTTCAAGTACCCTCTATAAATCTACAGTGTTAAAATATTTTCTTGGACACTTTCATTTTGGGTCGTTTTTTTCTTTAAAAACGGTACAAAAACCACCACAATCACTCGCATGAATTAGTCGTCAAGGCAAAGAGCAGCTGTTAACGATTAGAGATGGACACGAAAGAATTCAGATCGAATAAGAATGGACAACGAAAAAGAAAAAACTGTCCATGTGCCCCATGTATTCATCTATCTAACAAGCATATGTGTTAAACAATTGGATATCTTTTGGAAATACAAGATGAATTTTCTTTCATGAGGTATAGAGGGGTCTATAATTTTGATATACCCTGTAACTTAAAGTTAGGCGAGTCTCTGTATGAAAGTCATCAGTTGTGTTGATAATGCCCAACCACCTTTTCACCAACTACTATGCATTTCAAAATACGGTGGTCGTCAATATTTTTTGAATAACTTTTCAACGAAAAGAGCTAGAACCTTGCGATTTTCAGCATTCGACAAAGGACAGTTTGAGAAGTAGAGCTATGAAAAATTCAGGTTCAGGATCAGGTTTATCATAGTAAGTCAGCCAAATGAAATGTACGAGCTTCCCACTCAAGGGTATAACAATGAATTTTGACTTCTGTGATGGCAATTAGAACTGCCAGACCGTCCTCTTTCAAGCTATGCACGATTTAGGTTTATATTCTCAGTGGCCGAGAAGTTACAGAGGTTTTTTGGAGACCTACCTATGCTTTACAGTTTTGGCTCGGGAACTACAAAGAGAGATGGACTGTAGATTATCGACATCGCTGATCATCATGGCAATGCTTATTGTCTTCCTTAGATCACAGAAAGTTTAGCTGAGCTAATTTTTTCAAAATCCAGTTTTTCTCCTATGTCCATGTAAAATTAAACTATTCATAACTCAGTCATTCTCATCCATACGAGCCATAATTTTATTTAAAACAAGTCATGGTCCAGCCAAACTTCCTATGTATATAAAACATTCATTAGAAGAAAGCAATTGTTTACAATTGATCTCTACTATAGTAAGCAGTTCGAGATGTAATACAGATTCAAATCATGAATTTAACAGGGATTTTTTGAGAAATTTGAGGT